TTCCATTAGCAGGAAAGGTAAATGTAAATCTTTATTGTTTAAGATGGCAGCATGATCATACCTGACTGCCTTCCCCTGAAACACCATTAGATTAGCAGTGATGGGGGGGGAGGGCTTAAATCTACAGCATAAAACCAGAGGAGAGTCACAAACAAAACAATGACTGCACTGCATTTGAACACCAAAACAGAGATTATCAGTAAGGGGATGTGTTCTTGAACAGTCACTTCTGCACAGAACCCTGGATGTCGAACCAACAACAAAATTCAGGTCCAGCCATAAAGTTTTGTTGTTTTCTTTTGAGGCAGGCTATCCCTCTGTATGTTGGTTGGTCAGGCCGGCCTACCTCAGAGATGCACCTTCCGCTGCCTCCTAAGTACTGCTGCTCAAGGAACGAGCCGCCAGGCCAGCCATTATTCATAAAATTAACCTGACTGCCATAAAGTCAAGCGAAATATTTCAGTGTATCTAAAGAGATGCTATCATGGCATCTGTGGCAGCCATCACAGGGAGAAAACAAAACAACACAGCGCAGTAATTTTCTCTTGCGACCAGGACGAGAGGTGAGGAAGAGCCTCCTTCACAAGTTTATGTACTATCGATTTTTAAATACTGTGCATAGATCATTACAGACTTTACATTACTTTAGCAAAGCAAATTGATCCTTACTACTTTCAAAGGGGATTAAAAATAATTTTTTAATTTTTTTTTACCTACTCACAGTCAATCAATGTGTTTCTATTAAGAGTGGTGGCTAAATATTGAACAAAAAGCCATGAATGATCAAGGCTTTTTCAACTGAAACATATTCAACTTTTAATCAATACTTATTTCAAAAGATATTCTTGTTTGATACTGTTTTCAACAAAATTAACGAGCACTGGCATGGCTACTTTCAACCTTTTCAAAGTCCTCTTTATAAGCACATAAACACAGGGCTTAGGCTTGTCTCACTGCAGTGCTGGGACCTTCACTTCCTGCACACTATGCAAGCATTCTACCACCAAGCCCCAATCTCAGTCCCTAATATGTTTTGCTAATTTTTAAAAACACTTTCTAACGTTTTAAAAAAGATTTTTTAAAATCGTGTGTGAAAGCAGCTGTCTGTGGAGGACATACACACGAGTACCAAACCCTGGAAGCCAACGATGGAGATGCTGGGCTCCCTGGAGCTGGACTTAAAGGTGCCCTACACCGATGCTGGGAGCCAAACTAGGGTCCTCTGTAAGAGGAGCACAGATTCTTCATGATAAGGCATCTCCTCATATCCCTAATATCCTTTTAATTAAATAATTGTATATAGAATAATATATATTCAAAACATTTGTACTAATAAGCATAAAGAACATCTGATTCTGAGTTACTAAGAGAGCAGATGATTACAATCTAGATCACATTAAAAAGGAGAGGGGAGAGAGAGGAAAGGAGGGAGGAGGAGGAAAGGGAAAGGAGGGATGAGGAGGGAAGAAAGAGGCTAGAGATGTGGCTGAAATGGTAGCAGGCTTAGCACGCACAGCCCCTGGTTTAACTCCAAGAACGGCATAAACAGGATGTGATGATGCATGGCTGTACTCTACGCCCTCAGAAGGTGGAGCCAGGTGGATTAGGAGAATCAGAAGATCAAGGTAGTCTGGGATACATAAGACTCCTGTCTCTAAAAGGTGGGGTATACCGTCAGCTATTAATATTTGATTCTGAAGCATTTATGTTTTGTGTTTCTGTATGAGTATGGATGTGTGACACAGAAGACTTTAAAAACCCATCAACTCAAACAATTGCAATCACAAAGCAAGGCTTCAAATCAAATGACTATTCTCCTTGACTTTGTTAACCTTTCCTCTGCAAATCCAGAGAGGAGATGCCAAATATTCTCATATGGGCATACATAGCAGAGTCATTCTCAAGATCACACACAACATTGTCAAGAATGAGGTGGCATTAGAAGTACCATGCAACACTAACAGATTTAAAAACTTGTAAAACTGAAGTTCATAGAGGTAACATAATGCTAAGCTCCTGGACAGAGCAACATGCTAATGCTCATTAGTGTTGCTACTCCATGGGTGTGCCAAGGTGGATCACTCCATGTTTGTGATTTGTAATTTATGATCAACTTACGGCGCCGGGAATGGAGCCTAGGACCTCCATCACTCCTAGTCATCCCCAGCTATCGGAGATCACTTTCTAATCTACAGGATGGAGCTTGTTTCTATCTCATGGTGAGGCTTGAGCAGCAAATGAAGTAATACCTTCAAATACATAATAAACAGCAGCTCCTAAGAAAGGCCAGTTCTAGGACCTCCACGTCTTTAACATACAACTTCAGTTTCTGCAGATTAACACCTAACTTGAAACGTACTCAGTAAGAACCAGGTGCATTCTCAACAGAAGATTTCACACAGATTGCAGTAACTGAAACTCGATGGTGCTGGTATAAAAACTGACAAATACAAAAACGCTTCGTCACAGGGGACCTAGAAATTAAGGTACAATTACAGAGGAGAGTTTGAAAGAAATGTTATTGCGAATTAGTACAGAGAAATAACCTAGTCAGGAAACGGCTTTTCATATGGGAAATATTAGCGCCTTGGTTCATTCTCTCTCTCTCTCTGTCTTTCTCTCTCTCACATACACACACACATGCACACATCACACCACACACACTCACACACACACACACGGCAAAAAAAAACAAACAAAAGGAAACAAAATTACCCTTTTGGGCAATCTAAAGACCAAACTGGAGGCAAAAAAGAACAAAACAAATAAACAAACAAACAAACAAGGAAAAAAACCCTCAAAGCTCTAAGAATAAAAATGTTCCAGTAACATCAAAATATCTTAGACTTGAATTTTTCATTAAAAAGGTTTTGTAGCTAAAGGTGTAAAACTTCTGTATGACAAAAGAAAACACAAAAACATGGAGTAAATCTGCACCATATAAATGACATGACTGAGAAAGCCCAGAAGATAAATGAAGAAGAAAAAGAAGCAAGATAGCAAAGAAGTCAAACAAGCAACACACATAAAAAGAAGCTTGATCTCAGGGAAAAATCGTGAAAAATGCAACTTTAAAAAGAGAAACTAGTTTAAATAGATATAAACTTCTGAAGCCTGGTGCTCCAGTAGAGAGAATCCAGGAGCACAGACTTCTGAAACCACCAGTCAAGCAGAAACAGTAAGAGCCACCGTGGAGACACCATTGGCAAGCACACATGCTCTGTGATCCCTTACACATGGCCAGGGCTGTCAGAGCAGCAAAGAACCTACCAACAACAAACACTGCAGGAAATGATTTCATGCACTGCGGTGATCATGTGAAGGAATACTGAAAACAAACAAATGTGCACTTGAGTAAAAAGGAAAATGAAGTACGCAGAATGATATTGTTATGTAACATTTTATGACCTGTATAAAACATTACTTTCTATGGAGACCCACAAATAGTATGCATGAATATTAAAAATGTACTAGAAACATGACACCAAACCACAGACCGATGGTGGCTGCTGTTTTTGATACTGACTTATTTGGTGAATTGATTTACTAAAAATAACAAAAATTGTAATTGTGAAAGAATGTTAAGTGGGTATTTATTATATTATTCTTAACAGTTCCTATAAAAACAAAGGGGAGACTACTCAAAGACACCAGTATGATCACTGTAGGGATTGGCACTCAAATTTACCACTGCCTACCTGCTGGTGGTCAGGGATTTGTGCCCTGAGGCTCCTTGTCCCAGAGAAGAACCTGCTGGCTCCTATCACAAAGTTTACAAAGGCATGGTATGGCAAACAAATTCTTCAGGTCCTATCCCTTCTGGCAGTCCTGGGTTAACTGGTGGCATCACTACTGGACCACCAGGATTAACTACTTCCCTAATGACCTTTCCTCTCAGTTCACCCAGGACCTCATCCTCACGCTTGAGGGCCAAAATAACTTGCTGGCTGCTGTGATGCTACAGAACTGGCAAGGATTAGATCTACTAACCATAAAGAATGGTGGTCACTTATAGAATATTAGTAAAGATGTGTTACATCCATTTATGCTGTGGAATATTTATTTAGTGATGCAAAGATATTTGTTTAGTGATGTTGCATTCTTTTATGTTTTATTTGTTTAATTCTGTGATGTTACTTTTCCTGCCTAAAACACCTGATTGGTCTAATAAAGAGCTAAATGGCCAATAGCTAAGCAGAAGAAAGGATAGGTGGGGCTGGCATACAGACAGAGAATAAATAGGAGAAATCTGAAAGTAGGAGGAGCAGGAAAAGGAGAATGAGAGGCAGACACTAGAGGCCAGCCACCCAGTCAGCCATGGAGTAAGAAGAAACTAAAGATAAAAAGAATAAGGAAGGTAAAAAGCTCCAAGGCAAAATGTTATTAAAGAGAAACAGGATAATTTAAGTTTAAAAGCTGACTAGAAACAAGCCGAGCTAAGGACAGGCATTCAAAGGTAAGAATAAGTTTCTGTGTATTTATTCAGGAGCTGGAGGGCAGACCCCCAAAGATAAAACAAAAAATAAAACAAACAAACAAAAACCAACTAGAGTGGCCTTTGCATCATCCTCAGGGAGAAATGTTGTTTCTATGTCAACCAATTAGGTATGCTAAAAGACAAGACCCAACAACTCTAGACATCTTCAAAAATGTAAAGAATAGCTCAGTGACGCTGGCTGATGGATTGTTGATAGTCTAATATGGAAGTGGATATCACATTTCTTAACCCCCTTTCTCCTCCTTAAAGATACTGACAATCATAATCTAGTTTTATTCTTACATATTTAAACTTATAAAAAATAAAAAAATTAAATGAATTTAACATCCTAAAAAGCAAAAGGAACAAATTCCAGGTCACATAAATATGGTGATAAAACTGGAGAAGTAAAATAAATGTACATCAAAAAGAGGTAAGGTGTCTTGCCCTTCCCAGTGTGACTGTCAGTAAGCACCGGAGAACTAAGTAGAAAGAGCAGCCGCAGCCTGAGATAACAACTCACCTGTGTGGGTCCTTCTGTGCCTCTGAAGCTCATCGCTCCTTGTGAATCTTTTGCCACAGAACATCCAGTTGCAGATGAAAGGCCTTTCTCCAGTGTGCCAGCGGAGATGTGCTCGGAGGTGAGAGGTCTTGCCATACACTTTCCCACACCCTTCAATGTGGCAAACGTGCTGCTTCTTCTTTCCTGGTTCACTGCTGCCCCTAACAGAAGAAAAGCAACACCATTACATCCCAAACTCAGCTTACATCTCTGCCAAAAGGGTAGACCTCTACACGAGTAGAAAATTCTTTTCTGACTATGTCTGAACACAAAGAAACATGAGAAAATTGTGCATTAATGAAAAAAAATATGTTCATGTACTACATAAAAAAACTCCCATGAAAATGTGGCAGATCTCAGAATTTATGTCTACACAGCTCTGGTTGCCTGGACTTGATAATCTCCCAGCCCTAAGCATCCTTAGCATTAGAGTCCAGGCATGCTATTGATACCTGGGGAAAGAAAAACAAAACTCTTGAAAATTCTCCTCTAAGTATCATATCACAATTAATGCAGACCTCGTGACCATGGATTGGCACTGGGTGCCTTTTAACCACCCTCAGCCTCGGAACAGGGAGTGCTGGTGGTAGAGTGAGAAACACCGCGCACTGCCCCTCTCTGGAAGATAGCAATTTGACTGGGAGGCTGTACTGCTCTGTAACTTGTCATGGAGGTAGGAGGGAAGGAGACTAACTGTTCTTATATACTTCTATAGATGTCATTGAGGGAATATTTGCTGTTATTTGTTCTTAGGACCCTGACCAGAGACTCTTGAACAATGTTGGGAGGTAGATTTGTAATGTGTTGGTCTTGCTGGGAGGGATTCCTGGAACTCCTTGACACACTGGCCTGCTAGCACTGCATCTTTGTATCCCACATCATTACCCAATTTCCCAGCTAAGGGGTCATTTTCCAAAGGAAACAACTGCTGCAAAGCACCTAGGGCACATACACAGGAGCCGGAAGTAAAGCTAAACCACAGGATGGCTAGTCCTGGGGAGAAGCAAGTAGAGAGGGCCAAGGAGCTTTCAGATGTGAAAAATATCAAACATATACACGCTCCCAGAAGTCAACAAAATGATAATTCAGCTAAACTAACCAAGACAAACAGACTCAATTAACTCACTTATAAATGAAAATCATTATCAAGGTCATGAAAATAGAAAGGATCTTAAAGGAACATTAGGGAGAAATCTGTTACCACAGATGAGGCGGATAAGTTCTTCAACAGAAATCTAAAAACTGACAAACAAGCAAACAACCAAATACAAGTGGTCAATCAAAATAAATCTGTAATAGAAAGAATTAGAACTACGCAAAGCCTAGGTTCAGACAGCTTTACTGATGAAATCCCATCCCCCAATACATATCACTGTTTGCTTTTGAGACAAGGTCTTCCTATACATCCCTGGTCATGTATAAAAAGAATTTTACACCATGACCAGGAGGATTTTATCATAAACATGCAAAAATGCTGGCTTGTACCGACTACTTACGTTATAACTATACAGAATTTTCTTAAAAGCTCATGATCATTATAATAAATGCAATAAAGTATTTGACATAATAATCCTTCTGTGGTTAAAATAAGGAAGAAAAGAATATCCTCAATTTGATCCAGGGTTCTAGAGCTAGAGTCATATTTAAAAGGTGACAAACTAGATGGCCTGCTCCCAAATCCCAAACAAACAGAACTTCGGAGTAGAAAAAGTAAAACAGAGCTAATTTTTATTCGCAGATATAATTGTAGATACAGAAATCTTTTTTAAAAAATTTTTAGCTTTCCTCTTCTTTGACTCCTCCGAGGAGATCCCCGTCTCCTTATCCAATCAACTTTACGTTGTTTCTCTTTCTCAAAAAAAAAAAAAAAAAAAAAAACCTACAAAACTAGAAAATCAGAACACGTAAGAGATCAACAAGACAAAAATTGCTACAACAAAACAAAATGCAATCGAAAGGCCTCCCCCAGACAGAGTGAGTTTTGTGTTGGTCAAAACTCCTGGAGACAAGGCCTGTCCTGGAGCACGGCCTGTTCTGGGGCACGGCCTGTTCTGGAGCACGGCGGCTGCACCCAGTGACACTCCTTTAGAGGAAACTCATTTTCCTTGGCTAGGCGGTACCAATTGCAAATAGCTTCTTGGTTAGGAACAGGAACCCATTTCTGCTCCCTCTTCTCAGTACTGTGACCCCATCTGGCTTGAAGCTGTGCAGGTCTTGTGTATGTTGTCAGTCTCTGTAAGTGCCTAAGTGCACCAGTCCTATTATGTCTGGAAGACACTGTCTCCTTGAACTCACAGTCTGCTGACTGTGTGACACCGCTGGCTCACACAGCCTTTCCTACATCCTCTTCCACATACATCCCTGAGTCGTAAGGAGCGGAGTTTGATGAAGACATCCTATATAGAAGTGATTCTCCACAGTTTCTCCCTGCCTGCACACTGTTCAGCTACGGACCTCTGTCTGAAGTTTCTCTGATGAGTGCTGAGGGAGGCACTCACCTAAGGCACAGCAATTGGTCATTAGGAGTCACTGCACTGCTCTGTTCCCTTAGCTGACTAATAGCAGCAGGTTTTCCCTTTGGCTCATGGTCTATCTAGTCTCAGATCCTTAGCCGCTTTATCAGTTTCAGATATGGGTTCCACTTAATGGAGAAGACCTTAAATACAATCTTTAAAAGTGGCTGATTGTGGCAGAACATTTGTGCTCCTACTGTGCCAGCTGAGGTGTCATTTGTTTTACTAATCCTGGCCATTCTGACCAAGATAAGATGAAATCTCAAGGTGGTTCTAATTTCCCTGATGGCTAAAGATGTAGAACATTTTTAAAAGTATTTCTTAGCCATTTGAGCTTCAGTTTTTGAAAACTCTGTTTGGTTCTGTACCCTGCTCTTTAATTGGGTTATTTTCTTGGTGTTCAGTTTTTCTAGTTCCTTATATATTCTAGATACTAGCCCTCTTTTTGTGTATAGCTGGTAAAGCATCTCAACGACAATGTCCTTTGCCACCAAGAAGCTTTCGAGTTTCATGAGGCCCCATTTATTTTTTTAAACCATTTTATTGTATTTGTGTGCTCTGCTTGCATGTGTGTCTGTGTAGAGCCTGCATGACTGACGTCTGTGAAGTCCAGAAGAGGGCGCTGAATTCTCTGGAGCTAGAATTACACACAGCTCCCAGGTCCCATTCACTAGTCATTGGTCTTAAGTGTGTTCTGTTCAGAACACCCTTTTCTGTGTCAATGAGTTAAAGCCTAGTCCCTGCCATCTCTTCTATCTGACTTAGGATATCAAGTCTTATGTTGAGGTCCTAGACCCAATGGGAGTTGAGTTTGTGAAGCGCAATGAATAGGTATCTATCTGATTCTTCTACATGCAGCCATCCAGCTTGACCAGCACCATCTGTTGAAGATATAGTCTTTTTTTTTCCAGTGCGTATGGTCTGGTTTATAGAAATCTTCAATTTCTTTAAATTGTGTATAAGTGCTTTGCCTGCACATATATCTGCATACCACATGTGTGCTACGAAGGTCAGAAGAGGGTGTTCGATCCCTTGGGAATGGAATTACAGACAAGTGTAAACTACTATGTGGATGATGGGTCTTGAACCTGAGTTCTCTGGAAGAGCAGTCAATGTTCTTAATTGCTGAGCTATCTCTTCAGTCCAATAGATATAGAACTCTTAAGCAACCATTAAGAAAACCACAAGGAGAGATCATCAACATTCCACAATATAAGATCAGTACACAGAAGTCAATCTGATTATGTACACTTGGAATGAGAAATAAAAAAGTTTCATTTATAATAACATCAGGAAGATTTAACAGAAATAAATGCAACAAATGCTAAACTTACACTGAGAAGCCAAGGACAGTGGCACTGGGTTTTGATTCTACTGCATGGACTGACTTTGTGGGAGCCTGGTTTGTTTGGATGCTCACCTTTATAGACCTGGACGGAGGGGGGAGGATCTTGGACTTCCCACGGGGCAGGGAACCCTGACTGCTCTTAGAACTAGAGAGGGAGGGGGAGGGGTGGAGAGGGAGGGAAAAGGGAGGCGGGGAGGAGGTTGAAATTTTTAATAAATAAATAAATTAATTAAAAAACAAAATACTGAAGAAATAAATTAGCAAAAATCTAAATAAACAGAAAAATGCTCTTTTGTATGAACCTGAAGGCCCAATATTGTTAAGTTGTCATAGCCCCAAACTGACCTGCACTTTCACCTCAACTCTCATCAGAACACCCCCTTCTCATCTCCATAGAAACTGACAAGCTAATGTTAAAATTCATACAGAATCCCCAGTGGTGTTAAACACTTAATGCAGTTTTGAGAAATGGAAGCTAAGATCATTCAAGAGGAAAAGAAACTTCAGTAAATGATGCTAGGTGAACCTTTCCTTCATAACACATTTGAAAAGGAAACTAAGAATTATCGTATCTAAATCTCAGAGTAAAATATGTAAGATAAAAAAAACAGAACTATGAACATTCCTTAGAATTGGTAATGGATTCTTCACTATGAGATCAAAAGCAAAAGCAAACAAGGAAGAAGAAACAAACAAAAATTATACTTCAAAAGGTTTTGTGCTTTAAGAGATACAATTTTGACAGTATATGTTCATTCCACACACTAGGAAACAATACTTCCAAATCATGTCCTTGTGAGATCTTATACCCAGAATATATAAAGAACTATTCAGTGATTTTTTTTAAAAAAAATGATGCAATTAAATGTGGAAAAAGGATCTAAATACACATTTCTCTAAAGATACACAAATGATCAAAAACCACAAGAAAAGATGATCAACATTACCAATTACTAAGAAAATTTCAATCAAAAGCACACTGTGATATCCCTTTCAGACTGATTACTAAGCTGGCTTTAAAAAACAAAAAATTAGGCAGTGAAAAGCCTAGCAATTCTACGATGAAACTGGAACCTTCTTCATAGAGTGCTGGTGGGAATACAGAATGGTGCAGCCACTTTAGGAAATGGTGTAACAGTTCCTTAAATGGTTAAACAGTCACCATAAAGTCAGGCAACTCTATTTCTACACACACACACACACACACACACATACACACACACACACACACACACACACACACACACAGACCGAGAAATAAAGACTGAATGTCTGCATGCACACTTTTATATACATATATACAGTGGTCATAGTGGACAATAATGGACAATTCTGCTGTATATCAATGGGATAAACAAGTATGATACATAAATATACTAAATATTCCACACAATGGAATATGATTATTCATAGAAGAAATGAAGCATTGATCATGCTATCACAAAAATTCAAATACTGTCTGATTCCATTTGTATGAAATGTCCAGTATAATAGAATCTATAAATACAGAAGCCAGTGTAGAAGAGCTGAGGAGTTTGGGGGACTTTTTTGAAGCGGACAACAGTGGTTTAAAACACTGTAGTGACAGCTGTATGACTGTGGCTGATTCCAAACTACTGCACTGTATACATCAGACAGGTAAACAGCATGGCACAGGAGGGAGCTTGAAATCAACAAAGGAGTTTCAAGTTTTTACCTAGTAAGTGAAAAAAAATCATTTATTAAAAAAACATATAACGCAAAGCAGAAGACTGCTTCTCAAACAGCCCAATGTAACAAGACTGCATTCCAATTTCTGAGAGAATGCTCGGAGGCTCCAGGAACAGTGGCCAATGACTGCTTACTAATTCCAGAAAGCGAGGGTGAGAACAGCAGTTACCTTCCTTCTCCTTCCCTACAATTAGGACAGGAGCAGGCAACTCTTCGGAGCCTCTTGCCAGGCTGCACCTCTGCATCAGAGGTCTGCTGGCCTTGCTGCAAATGCACTTGTGTGAGTTGGTCAGGACTAACAGCACCTATCGTTGCATTAGCAATCCCTCCAACCGCCACCGTCACAGGAGCTATAGTAGCTTGCTGGACTTTCACTCCATCCTGTCCTTGCTGCTGACCTAAGAGAAAGACAGAAAAACAGAGCATCAGAACGCCTCTTATTCCTAAAGAAACGAAGAAAAGAACCTCCATGTGGACATGGAGCCCCAAAACCAAAAGAGTTAATTGTTTATATCAAGCTAACCCTTCCAAAACACACAGTGTTTACCTTAGCCACTCTTTTTTCATCTGCTGAGATTATATATAAACACTGAGGACTCATGGATATCTGAAAACTCTGACCCTAGGTGGAAAATGCTGTATCAATACAAACCATCATTATCACTTACAATCAACAACATTATCTCAAAAAAATGCAGGAATAAAAATTAACCAATGTAAAGATTAAGTATTACAGACATTTCTTGTTTCTAAACAAACAAACACCTCCTTACTGATGACATTTTTTTTTTAAGTATACAAAAATAATTAAATGTTTTCTTCTTTATTCTGTTGGAACAGGGCATTGCTACGTAGCACAGGCTGGCCTGGAGATCACTACATAACTCAGTTGGCTTCAAACTCAACAATCCTCATGTCTCAGCCTCCTAAGTGCTTGGGTTACAGGCATACCACCACCATGCCCATCCTAAGTGGTTTAAATGCAAAATCAACAATGACAAATATACAGTCACTACAGCAAACACATTTTTTTCTAACTTTAGTCTTTTCTTATACTTTCGCTTTTACTCTTTGAACTATGTCAAGTATGTACTAACTTTGCTTCTTTACTAGAGAAACTATGAAAACTGTATAATATGACAGTGTTGTAGGATAAACTATGAAAACTGTATAATATGACAGTGTTGTAGGATATTTGTACACTGCGTGAAGATGTGTTTGTTGTGATTGATGTAATAAAAAGTTGAAAGGCAATAGCTAGGCAGGGTATACAGGCAGGATTTTCAGGGACAAAGAGGACTCTGGGAAGAAGAAGGTGGAGTCGCCAGCCAGACACTGAGGAAGCAGCATGGGCAGTACAGAGAAATGAAGTAATGAGCCACATGACAGACTGTAGATTAAAATAAATGGGTTAATTTACATTATGAGAGCTACAGAGATTTGCATTGGTATGGATCTTGGCTTACTGATACAAATTTTGCTATATGTATATGTATTTCTGATCTTGATTAAGGTATTGTGTTTGTGTAGCTCATTTAAACATGTAAAGGATAATTAAAAATACAGGTTAATAGAGAGTCGTCTATAATAGTCAAGCTTGTAGTCATGTTAGTTAGGTTTTCTAAATGTACAGAGATATACTTCAGATAGATATTTCTTCAGATTTTTCAAAGACTATAGAATATGGCATTTAAAATGTTTTAAGAATTTAGGACTTTTCATTACAGTGAGACACACCTGCCCCTGGCAGCACCAATCTACTTCAAGTGGAAGATGGGCATTGAAGAGGCTCCTTACAGAGTTTCCTAGCCATTTGGACAAGAAACTGCTCTTGCCTGGACTACTAGGTGTTATGGTATATTAACTGGACTTGTAAGAGCCACAGAAAAATGGCTGCTGAACTTGCCTAATTCCTTCAGGGTTCCTGCTTCATAAAGGAGTCTGCCAGACATTGTGCAGGAAACAGAAAAAAGTGACCAAAAAACTGCCAGTATAGGCGAAACTGTCTTTGAAAAGAAAAAGAAAAGTCTGCTGGATATTATGGGCCTGTAGGCTGAAGATGGATGCCCAACAATACAGAAGAACTTTAGGTAACTGTCCAGGCATCAAGATGTCTCTGTCAATTCTAGATTTTAGGAAGTTGCTTACAATGTACTTCCTGTTTAGTTAGGTAATATTATATCATCCTAGGGTCTTTCATGGAGTTGAAGAAAAGTGAGTAGAGTTTTCCTTAGTTATGATAAAAGATAAGGTAGATATAATATAGTAACTGCAATTCTTGCTTGATACCTGTTTTATGTAATTTTACTATGCTAAAGGTAAAGCCTTCCTTTTTATTTAAACAGAAAAAGGAGAAATGGTGTGGGAAGTCCTTCTGTATATGTGCTGCTTTTATTGGTTAATGAATAAAGAAGCTGTTTTGGGCCTGCACAGGGCAGAATAGAGCTAGGCAGGGAAAGCTAAACTGAAGGCTAGGAGAAAGAAAGTGGACTCAGAGAGAAGCCATGTAACCCTGCTGGAGACAGACACTGAACGGCACTTTACCCAGAAAGTCACAGCCATATGGCAATACACAGATTAATGGAGATGGGTTAGTTTAGGATGTAAGAGTTAGCCTGAAATACAGTTAAGCTATTGGCCAAGCAGTATTGCAAAGAATACCGTTTCTGTGCGATTACTTCTGGATGAGCAGCCAGGAATGAACTAACAGCCTTCCTACAACATTTTACCTTCTCAAACATAGAACAAAAAAATCAACTTTGGATGACTTGTACTGCATATTCCAAATGTGTACTATTGTAGATATATATGTTACCTTATAATGTCTGTGTATTTTCAGAAAAAAAAAGCACTAAACCCACCAATGAAGACAAGTAGCCCATGTGATGATCCAGGCTCTCAGAATGCCTCTGTTTGATTTTCCTCTCTATAACTACTTCACAAAGTTGCAAGCTGAAATGGTTCAGTCTCACAGACACTCAAGCCAGGACTTCAGATAAGCACTGCATTTTCCCATTACACAGTAAACAAAAGATACAGCTAGCTCTCCTAGGACTTGATCATTATCCCAATTTTCCCAGAGTCCCCTTAAGATGCTGCTGGCCCCAGACAGCAGGAAGTAATTTTAAGAATATGACACTCACATCCCTAAGCGGCATGGTGGGTAGTTTTTGGTTGTTAACTGGTTTGTGGATGTTTGTCATCATTTAGAGAGGCTGGTTACAAATTCTTACTATTCATGGTAAAAGAGGAAACTAAGTAAGAGAGGGTTAGATTTATAGATCTCTCTCTGAAAAGAAAAAATGGGGATATGGGAATGATAGAATAAAGGGGTAGATTAATCTACTTTCAGATTAAAAAATTACTTGCAGCTCATTTAAAAATATCATGTAAAGTTCTAGTCCTTGAAAGCTAAAATTATAACTCATTTAGAATAATTAAGAAATTCAGGTTAGTAGTTTGTCATCTATAACAATAAAACTTGAAGTCATGTTAGGTATGTTTTCAAATCAAATAGAAATACATTTTAGATAGACAGATGGTCTTCAAACACTTCAAAGACCTACAGAATATGGCATTTAAGATGTTTTAATGACCTAAGGCTTTTCATGATAGCAAGATTTGTCTGTTCCTCGCAGCACCAATTTACTTCAAAAAAGGATGATGGACACTGAAGAACCTCCTTATGGAGTTTGCTTTTATTGTAGCAAAGTTAGTCACTGGACAAGAAACTGTCCTTACCTCAACTGCTGACAGTACGCTGTTCAAATTGGACAAGCAAGATACTAAAGGCAACCGCCAAACTTTCCCAAGTCAAGGTAGGACAGTCCTTTAAAAACTTCCCGCTTTACAAAGAAGTCTTAAAATATTCTAGGCTTGTAGTTTAAAGATGGATACCCCAACATGGCAGAGGAAACTTGAGTGATTGTTCAGGTAACTGTTTCTATCATTTCTATAGTAAGTTGCTGGCTCCACATTTCCTGTTTACTCAGGTAATATTATATCCTTTTTGGGTCTCTGATAGAGTTGAAGATGAGATAGCTATACTTACAGTTTTCCTTGTTACCAAATTCAGAAAAGAAACTCACAAAAGAGATATAAGGTATATAAGACATAAAATCTTAAAATGTTTATCTAAGAAAATGTTTTGAGATCTAAAAAGACAGTTTTGGCAATCCTGTATTATAAAGGAACTTCTGGAGGCACCATAATCCCTGACTTCAAACTCTACTACAGAGCTATAGTACTGAAAACAGCCTGGTTTGGGCATAAAAACAGACAGGAGGACCAATGGAACAAAATCGAAGACTCAGATATCAATCCACTTACCTACAAACACCTGATTTTTGACAAAGAAGTAAAAAATATAAAATGAAAAAAAAGAAAGCATATTTAAGAAATGGTACTGGCATAACTGGATGTCAACATGTAGAAGAATGAAAATAGATCCCTATCTATCGCCATGTACAAAACTCAAGTCCAAATGGATGAAAGACCTCAACATAAAACCAACCACACTGAACCTCAGAGAAGAGAAAGTGGGAAGTACACTTGAACGCATTGTTACAGGAGACCACTCTCTAAATATAACCCCAGTAGCACAGACACTGAGAGCAACAATTAATAAATGGGACCTCCTAAAACTCAGAAGCTTCTATAAAGCAAAGGACATGGTCAACAATACAAAACGGCTGCCTACAGAATGGGAAAAGATCTTCACCAACTCCACATCAGACAGAGGGCTGATCTCCAAAATACATATCAATTATAAGAGTTGTCTACCTCAGAGAGTTGATATAAGGATAATATGCACAAATCTCTTGCTATAGTTCACGGCACAGAACTGTTCACGACACATTAGCTGTTGTCACCCTCAGCCACTGAGTTGGTGGCACTACAAGGATGCTGGCAGAAGCAAACACAGGCTTAAAATAAAAGTGCTTATCTTAAAACGGCACTTGCAGTACTTTGAACATATGAAAAACTGAAAATCACAAAGTAAAAAAATATGACCTTTTCTCAACAAATAAACCTGAGTTGACATTCCCATTTAAATTAATCTCCACCTCCACTGTAAACCCCTCAGGAGCACCCACGGCTAAAGCACAAATACAGGTGTCCTTCTGCACCCAGGAACGCTGATCTCAGAACGTCCTCTCCATCTAACACCATACGCTGACATCTACAGATGCTCGAGTTGCTTACAAAAATGGCACAGTTTTGTATAGTACCTATCACACCATCCTCCCATTAGTTTAAAAACCACTACCATACTTATACAACGTATGCAAGACATTGTAATACTGTAGTCTTTTGTTAACGTCTCAGAAGTTGCTGGGTGTGAGGCATACACCCTTCATCCCAGCCCTCAGGAGGTGGATCTCTCTGAGTTCACAGC